TAATGAAAAAAATAATATTTAAATAGAGTGAAATTTCAGCCCTTTTAAAGTCTTTCTTTTACATTTTGCTGGAGTGTGTATTGTACGCACTCTTTCACCCTTTTTCACTTTTCTTCATTAACGGGTAGGTCTCAGTATAGGATATCACCCGCAGACGTACTCAAGCCACTTGGACTTCTTGTTAACTTAGAACCCATTTGGAATAATTTTCACTTTCTTTACGGCAACAGTAGTAGTCATTGAAACATGCACTACGGAACAGCACAAGTTCTGCAAAACCCTGGAACAAGGACTATGTAAATGTCACTGATCATGGATGTATAATACATCAATATCTGAATCAAAGTTCAAATTTTAAAAAATAACATCAGTATTTGGTCAAACAACAACCTGATATTTATTTATCAAACACCAAATATTTTACAACTTAAGAAATAGAGAGCATGCCGTAACTTTAACGGCATAAAGCAGCATAGTTATAGGCCTAACTACAGAAATATACACATCTGGGACACACCATAGTTACAAAAATGTCGTACTCATTTGAAATACATATGCAATTAATTAAAAAGATAAGATTGACAGCTTCACATTACATTTGTTTAAAAATGATTAGAAAAGCTATCTAATTTTCAATTTAATTCGACAGAGTATAGCTATGGCACTCTTCCGTAATGGTGTAAGAATGGATCGAGTTATCTTAATCATCTTAACTACACGCTATAATAAAACTCAGTACGGTACTACTTGGTAGAAACATAGGTAAAATTACGAAAACTTGCTACCATAGTGACCAATTATATATACATCCCTTTCTCAATGTTTTTTTTTTTCAGTATTAGATATATCATCAAGCCACATAGCATCACATGCCTATCACATGCTATTTCCTCTGACGTCAACGCTTTCTTTATAAGCAATATGCCTGCATTAATAACGAATCCCAGTGAACTAGAGATTCTGAGCATACGCATACAAAATTATGGATTCACCTACACGCTGACTATTCATTTGCATATTACCTATATTACACTTACAACTTAAATGAAAACAATAGTAATGCATACAATTACGATGTGTATAACGTATATACAGTATCATTATTAAATTAGCAATATGGGCCCGAACTTGTATTTATATTTTTAATAGGAAATTACAGATGTTAAAACTGTATGTTCAATATCAGTCAATCACTCATGATGCAACATGATAGAGAAAATTACATGTGTTTCAACATATATTAGTAAATAATAATAAAAGGATGTTAATAATCATTATAACAATGTTAAGTCATAAAAACGAACTCTTACTTGGCATAACACCAAAATGGTTCCGTTTTATATGTTAATTAATTATATTACAAAGTCATACTCGAGTTGCGACCTAATTTTAGTGAGTAGTACGTATGTTATTAAGTCTTATATCGAATACATTTGAAGACAAAGCGTATTATGAACAAAGGCTAAGGAATGGAATTATTGTATTCTCTGACAACAATATAACACACACCTATCATTTAAATTTTTTTTCAGAATTATTACGTGTTCAGATAAACCATTTCTATACAATTTCATCTTATCTCTTGATATTTTTTTAAAATAAACATAACATTAAAGAGGTAATAGGAAGTCAACAATTTTTACAATGTATAATTAATACAACATGTACGTGTGTATTTTAACAAAAAAAGTACAATTATATACATTCAAAAATATTGTTGTTATCTTTTTAGGTTTTTTTAACCCCGTGAAATACAATTTGTGGACGACGTTTCAGGTTTAGTAACTCTGTATATTAAATTAACATAATCTTATGTTTTAAAATTTGTAATAACATGTTTTTATATGCAATATAAATGAAAATATGATTAAGATATATATTCTAATAGTATCTATCATTTGATATATAAATTATAAGTCAAAGTTGCATTTCAGGTCATCTTACGTACTGTAATTAACCAACAGCAGTGAGTGTAGGAGAAGACAAGTACCCTAAAAAATACCCTTTTCAATTTCTTGGCCATAATTGAAGTAAGTAGGCTCGTCCGTTAAACTGTATTCATCTACTTTTTTTTATCGCATTAACGTATAACAGAAAGACGAACGGGCAATTTTGGAAATTGTGTACAATAGAATGGGAAGAATTAATTTTCACCGCTGGACCTTGTACTCGTTCGAGTCGCCTGCTTTGTTGCCAATCAGTATTCATTAGTTAATAAGCTCATTTATACTGAAATACAGTGAATTACAAACAACCGTTATATTGTTGACGTTGAATTTATGGCGACTTACGATCATGACCTGGTTTATTATGCGACGTAGTTGGTCACATTTAGAACCATACAATACCAATCGGAGTAGTTGTTCAGCTGGATCGTTTAGACAGAATTCCGGTGGCTGCTTTGTTTCATAGAATACTGATCGATCGATCAAGCAACAAAGAAAATGATAATTGCAACATAGCGGTTCTATGTATAATAACCCGGTAGATGTAGGCCTTTAAATTTGCCGTAGCATTCTGAACGGTATCGATGCACCAGCCCTGTAATAATACAAGAAAAAAATCAATGCAGACATTATAATCAATTCATAATTATATTATAAAAATAATATTTGATAATAACAAAATAATAATAATGACAATAATTAAATAACAATATAATAACAGCAACAACAATAATGACATGCTTTGCTTTCCGGTGGCTGCTTCGTTATTTGGTGACTAATCATCAGTAACGCAGTGGTGTCTATCTCGCTGCCAATTGCGTTTCAAAGATGCCTAACATTAATAATAATAATAATAATAATAATAATAATAATAATAATAATAATAATAATAGTAAATATTGTTTCGTAAAAGTGGGGAATTTATCATAATTTATATTATTTACCAAATTTATATAGTGCCTTTTCATGGATTCATTTTCAAAGGCGATTTAGACAGGAAAACAAAATACAATACAAAAATATAAATTATGCAAAATATAAAATTATTACCGCATATACAAATTGATTAAATAATTGATTTAGTTATTGGAAAATTGAGGCCAAAAGAAATATAGGCCTACTAAGAATCAGAACGGATGGTGCAGCGGTTGTGGCTCTGACCTTGAAGTCGCCCGTGTCTTTGGCCTCTACCAAATATGTATAAGTGGGTACCTTGGAGGCTCTAGTGACTGGCAACATGATTTATTTTGTGCAGCAATTAAGGAATAATACTTTCCAAGTGGGATCCATAGGTATCGATCAAATGATTATTGTCTTAATAAGAAGCACTATGATATTTAGTTCTGCCGAGCGCTATAAATACCGATATAATATTATTTATCATTTTTATTATAATAGCGTTTGCTCATCCTGGAGTAAGGCACTTTCACGCTTTCTTTCTCATAATCTAGACAATATGTTTCATTAAGAATATAATAAAATATGACTATAAAGATGTCTCTGGCTAAAACCTCTCATTGTCGGCACTTGAATTTTGTGATTCATCCCAGGCCAGGAGTGGCGATCCCCCTTAAACCACTGCACAGCCTGGACCCAATGCTTAAGCAATAGGGATGACAATTCAGACCTGTAGTTTCGACTACCTTTAGCTTGTTTACTGTTAGTGTGAACATTTGGAAACAACATCAAAATTATAAATAAAATATTGACAAAATTCTTCAACTGATTACGAGAAAAGGATATATTATGAACAGAAATATAAGAATAATATTATTGGTTCTATTCCTATATTCTGTATTTTTGTTTTTTGTTATCAAGAGATTATACAGTGGTTCCTTTGCTAGAAGAGGTCTAGTGTAGAGACCACTGATTGCCTGACATCATTTTGTTTACTGGTGCTTAAATATAAGTATTATTTATACGTACATCTGGGGCGGATGCAGGAGGGTGCAGACAGTGCAATCACATCCCGCTAAATTGTATTAAGAAAAATAATTGTTGTATTGATTGTTGATGTGAATTTCTGGTAAGATTTTAAAGGTATGAGAGTGCAATTTCCGGGCACCTATAGGTTAATATTTTCAACATTTTCGGATCTCATCCCCAAGCATGGCGGGAATGAGGTGGTGTGGACTCACACGCATCCCTACCGCCAAATCCTGCATCCGTACGTCCCAGTACGTTTATTGACTCTTTTTTTTTGTTGATAATTCAATTGAAAAAAAAATGGCATAATAAGTTTATATATAAAATAAATATAATAATAATAATAATAATAATAATAATAATAATAATAATAATTATTATTATTATTATTATTATTATTATTATTACTATTATTATTATTATTATTAACCATTCATTGCTGGGAATGTATGGGCGTCATTGACGTTATTGAAATAACAAATCAATAAAAAATCATATTAAAACTTACATGGAATAACGATATTTTTTCATTCACATATGTGTGTATTAGTGTAAATTATTATCAAAGTGTATTCTGTCCGTTTCTCTCTTCTATGTACATATATCCCTGTTGTTCAAGATCTTCTGGAACTTGAGAAGCGAATGAGTGTCTCCAGTGACCATAATGTCCAGTGCTCGGTAAACGAGGTAAAGATCGATCGTAGAGACCACTATTTGAAGTACGATCTCTGGTGTCATAGTACACAGTAGGCTGGTATATTTCTCTACCAGAAGAATCAGTAGCAGTCCTCGTCTTACAGAAGCATTGATAATAAACAGGAATGACAACAACGACTACAACGACGATGACGACTAATACAATGATAATGATGACAACGTAGAGTGACACTGTCCGGCTAGTTTCCTCTTGGCTGTTGTTATGGTCTTTTCTTGATGTAATTAAATCTAAATCGTTTGACACATGAATGTTTTTGTCATCCTTATTGTGTTCACTATTTGAACCTCTCTTACTATCACTAATGTGTAATACAACGGTTTGAGAGGTTTCACCTACAATGTTTTTCCCCAAGCAGGTTATCTGGGTTCCATTATGATCGACTGTTGGCCTCAGAAGGCGAAATACCTGTCCGTTAGTCGTGTATTCGTCGCCATCTAACTTTGGTCGAGAAATCCATTTATATTGCATTACAGGAGGATTTGCAAACGATTGGCAGAAAAGGATAGCATCAGATCCCACATATATGATATCCGTATGTTGAATTTTAATATCAGGTTTATAATAGATATTCAAGTCGACTACTGTGCAATTTGAAGGCTCCCGAAGTACTTGCGATGTTTGTTTACAAGTAAACTTGTTTTTACTGTCAGACTTCTTTGCATTAAATGTGAGATTCTTATAAACATATCTTCCTTGTATATTACTTTGTACAGTAGTGTAAATAACGTTGCCGTCATCATCAATCCAACTTAGTTCAACTGGGGGGTTAATATGTTCACTTAAGCAAGACAGTGTTACACTAGAATCAACATTGAAACTTTCTTTAGACGTAAAACATTGTGGGTAATCGGGTGAAGGGGCTTGAAGTACAGTCAGGTGTGCAGAACCAGATTTTAATGGTTCACTTTCCTGCAGGTCTACTTCACAATGATAATCGCCTTCGTCTTGTAGTTCTACATCTGATATAATTAACGAGAACATTCGCATGTCTAGTACTTTGGCTGAACTCATGGTCAGTCTGTTTCCCTCAGTAGCATCATCAGAACTTGAAGCCATTTTATTCAATCCTTTCCACCATGAAACATCCTCAATTACATAGTTTGAAAGAACACATGATAATACTGCTTGTTGTCCTTCAATCGCCGATACATCTTCAGGCTTATCAACAAAGCTAACGCATACGGTAGTTTGAACATTTATTCCTGAAACCAAAATTATTAGAAGCAGCGCTTTATTATACATCAATGGCATGTTTCGTAAATCGTATTACATCACTGGCCCCTTTTCTTATGGTTGCTTTTATTAAGAGTAGTCAACAAATACTGACTTACATGAGTTTAAGATTTTTCAACATCCGCCATAATTTCACTAGAATATCATAAATACTTCTGATTAAAGACTATCAAAACTGATCATATGCTAGCGAAAGAAAACTGCGCATGCTTAGACAGCAAACATAATTTAAAACATTGTTTCTGGTTTTCATGAACTGTAAATTTAGGACAGTAACTATACTATAGTCATAGTAATTGCATGAAGTCCCTTCGCCTCTAGTATAATCTACAATGTGTTTTGCCCATTTCTCTCCTCAATGTACATGTATCCTTATTGATCAAGATCCTCTGGAACTTGAGAGGCAAATGAGTGTCTCCAGTGACCATACTGTCCAGTGCTCGGTAAACGAGGTAAAGATCGATCATAGAGACCGCTATATGAAGTGCGATCTCTGGTGTCATAGTACACAGTAGGCTGGTATACCTCTCTGCCAGAGGAATCAGTAGTAGTCCTCGTCTTACAGAAGCATTGATAATAAACAGGAATGATAATAACAACCACAACAATGATAACTACTAACACAATTATAATGATAACAACATACAGAGATATATCTTTGTCTTCTGTGGATGTATTTGAATCTAAATCACCTGAGGCAAGAATGTTACTGTATTCATTATTTTCAATGACATTTTGGTCAACGATCAATCCATTATCAATTTTCTTGTTAATACTAATGTGCAACACAATGGTTTGGGATGTTTGGCCTACGTTGTTTTTTGCGGAGCAGGTTATTCGAGTACCATTGTGATCGACTGTTGGCTTTAGAATTCGAAACACCTGTCCGTCAGTCACGTAAGTGTCGCTATCTAACTTTGGTCGAGAAGTCCATTTATATTGCATTACAGGTGGATTTGCAAATGATTGACAGAATAGGATAGCATCTGATCCCACATATATGATATCGGTGTGTTGAATCTGTATATCAGGTTTATAATAAATATTTAAATGTTGTATTTTACAATTTGAAGGCTCCGGAAGTACTTGCGATGTTTGTCTACAGGTATATGTGTTTTTACTATCTGTTTTCTTTGCATTGAATGTGATATTTTTATAAACAAACTTCCCTTGTATATTACTTTGTACACCGGTGCTAATAACGTTTCCATCATCATCTAACCAATGTAATTGAACTGATGGTTTGATATGCTCACTAACGCAAGACAAAGTTACTCCTGAATCAACAATAAAACTTTCTCTAGACGTAAAACACTGTGGATACTGAGGAGAAGGGGTTTGAAATATTGTCAGATGTGCCAAACCAGACTTTAGGTTTTCATTCCCATGTACTTCACAATGATAATCACCCTCGTCCTGTAGCTCTACAGTGAATATCATCAGAGAGTACATTCGCATATCCAGTACTTTTGATGAACTCATTGCCATTCGGTTTCCTTCTGTGGCATGTTCAAAATTTGGTGCCAGTTGTTTCAATCCTTTCCACCATGAAACATTTCCATTTACTTCACTTGAAAGAATACATGACAATACTGCTTGTTTCCCCTCTATTGCCGATACATCCTCGGGCTTGTCAACAAACCTAACACACAGGGTACTTGGAGTATGTATTCCTGCAATTAATATAAACAATACAGGCAAATATTCCATTGTTTTAATATATAAAAATGGTAAGTTTAAATCCTGTCACACCACTGTATTTTCATTATAGTTCCTTGAGAGATAGAGTAATTACTAAATACTGAATCAGGCCTACACCAGTTTATGATTTCTCAAAAATGCTGCCACTATCCTGACTTGTAAAGGGTATCTACTTATTTCTAAAGACGACGTCAAAATCGGCACATGGTTAAATAGCACACGGAATTTAAAACTGTGTTTCTGGTTTGCATGAACTGTAATATTAAGCACTGGTGTAGTCATTATACGTTATACTAGTAAAAATTCAGTGGACATGGTTTCTAAGCCAGACACTTTGTATAAACTATAACGTGTTTTGTCCATTTCGTTCCTCAATATACATGTATCCCTGTTGTTCAAGATCTTCTGGAACTTGAGAGGCGAATGAATGTCTCCAGTGACCATACTGTCCAGTGCTCGGCATATAAGGTAAAGATCGATCGTAGAGACCGCTATTTGAAGCACGATCTCTGGTATCATAGTACACAGTAGGTTGATATATCTCCCTACCTAAAGAATCAGTAGTAATCCTTGTCTTACAGAAGCATTGATAATAAACAGGAATAATGACAACAAGCACAACAATAATGACAACTAATATAATTATAATGATTACAACATACAGAGATATCTTTTTGTCTTTTGCTAAATCCTCTGTCGCATTAATATGGCCATCCTCGTCATAATTACTCTCAATGCTATTTTGGTCAACGATCCACCCATCTCCATCGTTTTTGCCACTACTAATGCGCAACACAATTGTTTGGGATGTTTCACCTACGATATTTTTTGCTATACAAGTTATCTGAGTTCCATTATGATCTACTGTTGGCTTTAAAATGCGAAAAACTTGTCCGTTAGCCATGTAATCGTTGGTATCTAAATTTGGTCGTGAAGTCCATTTATATTGCATTACAGGTGGATTTGCGAACGATTGACAAAACAGGATGGCATCTGTTCCTTCGTATAAGATATCCGTGTGTTGAATTTTTATATCAGGTTTGTAATATACATTTAGGTTTTCTACTATACAGTTTGCGGGTTCTGCAAGTACTTGCGACGTTTGCTTACAAGTATATTTGTTTTTCCTATCAATTTTTTTTGCATTGAATGTGATATTCTTGTAGACCAAATTTCCTTGTATATTACTCTGTACACCACTGGCAATAACATTTCCGTCATCATTTAACCAATGTAGTTCAACTGGTGGTTTGATATTTTCGCTAATGCAAGACAATGTTACACTGGAATCAACAATAACACTTTCCGTAGACGTGAAGCATTGTGGATAATCAAATGAAGGGGTTTGAAGTACTGTCAGATGTGCAGAGCTAGATTTGATTTTTCCACTTTCCTGTAGGTTTACTTCACAATGATAATTACCTTCATCTTGCAGTCTTACATCTGATATGAATAAAGAGAACATTCGCATTTTACTTGCAGGTACCTTCGCTGAACTCATCGTCATTCGGTTTCCTTCGGTATCATGATCAGAGATTGATGCTATTTTTTCAACACCTGTCCACCAAGAAACGTCCATATTTTCATCATTTGAGAGAAAACAGGATAGCACTGCTTGTTGTCCCTCTATCGCAGATACATCTTCGGGCTTACCAACAAAGCTAACGCTTACAACACTTGGAATGTGTATCTCTGCAGCAACAATCACCACAAATATTATATACTTCATAACTTTTGAATATACACATTTTATCATCGCTAATCGTCTACTATAGTGGGTTTAGTGATAGTCATCAACTTTTAACTTTGCAAATTTATCATCAATATTTAGTGTTCAGACAAAGCAAAACCATACCATATTAATGCGCATGCTTGGTTACCATTGTGCTATATATAAGGCAGCACACCAAATATAAAACCTTGTTTCTGGTTTCCAGACAATATTAAAAATTAAATACTGAATACAAAATGGATAATTTTGAGTGAATTTAAGACCGTTTATAAGCAATAAAATCTATAATGTGTTTTATTCATTCCTCTCCTCTATGTACATATATCCCTGTTGATCAAGATCTTCGGGTACTTGAGAAGCAAATGAATGTCTCCATTGATCATACTGTCCAGTGCTCGGTAAACGAGGTAAACATCGATCGTAGACACCGCTATTTGAAGCACGATTTCTCGTGTCATAGTATACAGTAGGCTGGTATATCTCCCTACCAGATGAATCAGTGACAGTCCTCGTTTTACAGAAGCAATAATAATAGACAGGAATGATGACAACAACTACAATAATGATGACGACTAACACAATGATAATGATGACAACATAGAGTGATACACTTTGTGTTTCTTTTGCATCCATGTTCATATTTTTTCTTTTTGTTTTAGGTGAATTTTCCAAATCCTCATCCTTTTTATGAATAAAATTTTTGCGCCTTTCTTCTTTTTTTATATGTAACGTTACTGTATTTGTATTGATACCGATATTGTTTTCTGCAGAACAAGTAATTCGTGTTCCATTTGTAGCAATAGACGGCTTTATAAGTGTCAATACTTGACCATCAGCAATATATTCATTAGCATTCAAAACCGGTATAAACGTCCACTGGAACTGTGTAACTGGAGGATTAGCAAATGATTGACAGAATAAGATTGAGTCGGACCCAGCAAATAATGCACTGGTGTGCTGTATTTTGACTTCTGGGCGATATTGTATATTTAGATTACTAATTGTGCAATTATGCATTTCAGAAACAGCGTCGGTTGTTTGTTGACACAAAAAAGTTGCATCGTTATCAGTTTTCTTAGCTATAAATGTATAATGTTTTTTGAAAAAATCATCTCGTGTTTCAGCTTGGAAATTCATCGATAAAGTAGAGCTACCTTTCCGAATCCAATTCAGCTTTACTGGGGGACTAATTAACTCACTAATGCAGGTTAATTTGACTTGTGAGCCAACGAGGTACATGTTGGCAGACTTGGAACATTTTGGATATTCTGATGACGGTATCTGCAAGACAAAAAGACGTGCTCTTCCAGAACTAATTGTAGGTGCTTGGTCTATTTGGCAGTAATAATCTCCTTCATCTTCAATTATTAGTTCAGTTATAAGTAACGAATATGAATACGCACCGGCAAATGGAAGTTCGTCTAAGTTTACTGACATACGTAGATCCATTGCTACTACTTCGTTTTGTTGACTTAATTTTGCTTTTTCCTTCCACCAGGATACAACATGGGTTTCTATATTGAAATGTTTTAAGAAACACTTTAGTGTTGCTGTTTGTCCTTCAAATTCGTTGACATCCTTTGGTTTGGCAGCGAATTCCACTGCATCAGCGTGATAATAGAGTAGAAGCATAAGCAATATTTTCAGTTCATGCATTTTGCTATAATATAGGATTTTACAAATATTCTCTGTAAATTAATCGTTTCCAATAAATAACTCCATCTTCCGATTAACAAATTATAATAAACCTGATTGGAGCAACGATGGCTAAAGTATTTTTTTCTAATAGTTGCTTTACTGTATACCCGCTATTTAAAAAACGTTGCGGACCACTGTTTTAGAAATTTTGTTACCGGTTTGGAAAGATAAGTATTTTGTGGATTTTGCACAGAAATTATAATACATTTTTTGGGGGATTTCAGCACATGCTTGTTTTATAAACACTTACGTTTCTAAAGTGTATTCTGACCATTTCTCTCCTCTATGTACATATATCCTTGCTGGTCAAGATCTTCAGGAACTTGAGATGCAAACGAGTGTCTCCAGTGACCATAGTGGCCTGTGTTCGGTAAACGAGGTAAAGATCGATCATAGAGACCACTATTTGAAGAACGATCTCTGGGATCATAGTACACAGTAGGCTGATAAATCTCCCTACCTGAAGTATTAATAGTAGTCCTTGTTTTACAGAAGCATTGATAATAAACAGGAATGATGACAACAACCACAACAATGATGACGACTAATATAATAATTATTATGACAACGTATAGTGATATACTGGGGTTGTCCTTTCCATATATATCCAAATTATTTTCTTCTGCTTCAGGTGAAATTTCTAAGTCATTATCGTTTTTCTGAATATTATCATTGCGCCTTATTTCTTTTGTCATGTGTAACGTCATTGTATTTCTTCCAATACCGATTTTGTTTTCTGCAGAACAAGTGATTCTTGTTCCATTTCTATCCATTGATAGTTTTGTAAGTGTCAATACTTGCCCATCAGTTATATATTCATAAGCGTTTAATACTGGTGTAAATGTCCACTTGAATCCGGTAACTGGGGGATTAGCAAATGATTGACAGAATAAAATGGAGTCAATTTTCGCAAATAATGCACTTGTGTGTTGTATTTTAACTTCTGGACGATATTGTATATTTAAATTTCTAATTGTACAATTTTGTATTTTTGGGATAATTTTCGTTTTTTGTTGACACATAAAGGTAGCATCGTTATCATCTTTTTGTGCTGTAAATATATAATGTTTATATACAAAATCTTCTAACTCTTCAGTTTGTATATCCATTGGTAAAATAAAACTACCTTCACGACTCCATACTAAGTTTACTGGCGGACTTAATAATTCACATGTACATGTTAATTTTACCTGTGATCCTACAATATAACTGTTAGCTGACTTGGTACATTTCGGATATTCTACAGACGGAACCTGTAACACTGTGAGACGTGCTATTCCAGAGGTGATGGGAGGTGTTCGATCAATTTGACAGTGATACCCCCCTTCATCTTTAAGCAATATATTTGTTATTAGTAAAGAATACGAAAACGCTCCGGGATAGGGAAGTTCGTCTAAGTTTACGGTCATACGTTCATCCATAGTTACCACCTCATTTTGTTCAGTTAGTTTTGATCCTGCTTTCCACCAGGACACGACATATTTTGCTTCGATAAATTCTCCTAAGAAACATTTCAATGTTGCAATTTGCCCTTCAAATTCTTCGACATCCTTTGGTTTAGCAGTGAAGAGTTCAGCCTGCGCATAATACAGAAGCACTAACAGTAAATATATGTTCTGTAAACACATCGTTTAATATTATTATTATAAGTACTCTGTAGCGAAAATATTTAACTGGTTAATATATCCATTACAATCAAATTGCTGTGCAGATGTGATTACATTTCCGTAGGATTTACTTTCATATTTTGTGCCTGCTTAGACATAGATTTAAGATAAAGTAGTTGTAGCTGGGTTTCAGTCTGTAAAATACACTCTACATCCAAAAATAACAAATAGGAATACAGCAATTAATATTGTGTTACTGGTTTGAAGTATTTTTGATTTCTCTCAGTTTTATGGCTAAACGGTACCACATTGAATAAGCGATATTTCTAAAGTGTATTCTGTCCGTTTCTTTCTTCTATGTACATATATCCTTGTTGATCAAGATCTTCAGGAACTTGAGATGCAAACGAGTGTCTCCAGTGACCATAATGTCCTGTACTCGGTAAATGAGGTAAAGACCGATCGTATAGACCACTAGTACGATCTCTGGTATCATAAAACACCGTAGGCTGGTATATCTCCCTACCAGAATTATCAGTAGCAGTCCTTGTTTTACAGAAGCAGTGATAGTAAACAGGAATGATAACAACAACCACAACAATGATGACGACCAATACAATAATAATTATGACAACGTACAGTGATATACCCGGGTTGCCCTTTCCAAATATATCCATATTATTTCCTTTTGTTTCAGGTAAATATTTAAAATCATTACCGTCTTTCTGAATATTATTATCGCGCCTTAATTCCTCCGTTATGTGTAACGTCATTGTATCTGTACTGATACCAATATTATTTTCTGCAGAACAAGTGATTCTTGTTGCATTTCTAGCCATCGATGGTTTTATAAGTGTCAATACTTGCCCATCTGCAATATATTCATTAGCATCAAATACAGGTGTAAACGTCCATCTAAACACAGTAACTGGGGGGATAGCAAATGATTGACAGAATAATATAGAATCAGATCCCGCAAATATTGCACTAGTGTGTTGTATTTTAACTTCAGGACGATATTGTATATTCAAGTTTTGAATTGTACAATTTTGTGTATAAGAAAGAACGTCCGTTCTTTGTTGACACATAAAAGTATCATCGTTATCAGTTTTCTTTGCTGTAAATGTGTAAATTTCGTAGACCAAACCATCACGTGTTTCAGTTTGCGTACTCATTGATGAAATAGGGCTACCGTGACGATTCCAGTTCAGATCAACTGGAGGACTTATCAAAACACTAACGCACGTTAATTGTACTGGTAAACCAACGACGTAGCTGTTAGCTGACTTTGTACATTTTGGATACTCAGACGAGGGAACTTGCAATACTGTGAGATATGCTATTCCAGAACTGATAGTAGAAATTTGATCTATTTGACAGTGATAACCACCCTCGTCCTCGAGTACTAGGTCTGATATAATTAATAAATATGTATATGCTCCCACATATGGCAGATCGTCTAAATACACCGATATCCGCATATCTGTAGCAGTTACCACATTTTGTCGACTTAGTCTTGTTTCTCCCTTCATCCACGATACTGTATGTTTGTCTTTATCAAAATCTCCTAAGATACATTTCAGTCTTGTAGTTTGTCCTTCAAATTGTTGAACATTCTTTGGTTTGCCAGTAAATCTTACAGCCTGAGCAAGAAATATATGTAAAAGAACCAATAAAGGTTTCAATGTACACATTTTGCTATGTAAGTTACCCTCTTCCGTGAAAACACACCTTACAAAAAAAACCCTATGGACATTACTCCAACCTAGCTACCAGGAGAAAAACATTGTATTCCTATATCCCAAATCTTATTTTTATTTTCTATTGCTTGTGCGTTTTGACCGACGACCGCCGACTTCGATTTATAATGGGATTTCACTGTATGCTACACAGGCATTTCAAAGAATTAACACAGGAACTCTCTTTTTGATATTTTGTTACAGGTTTCTAAAATATCTCTTTTAGTCAAATAAATGTAAGAATAAACAAATATTTTACCGGTAGTGGATTTTGATAAATAGTGATTGATTGTATTTTTATAAGCTTAGTTTACTGTTATGTGTATTGGAATGACATTTGTACTACAGTAAAAGTACTAAATATATTCGCGATATCGATTCGAAAGCAGATATTATTGAAGACGATTGAAGCAACCCAATCGAAACGTCGAGATATTCTCAACCAACAATAACAGTTCTTTTCAGAACTATATACGTGGTGTACAGCAAGCATTAATATGTTATATTCGAGATATTGTAAATTTTAGTCATGTTTTCCTGTAGTGCATTATGGTGGTTTCACCTATTTATGTACATACAAGTGTGATGAATTTGAATATATAATGCCAAAATTGTATAAATATTTGTTAATCCTGCTAAAGTATAGGATAAAGCAGTATTCTTAAAATACGCTTATACACTTACAAGTTCTAAAGTTAATTTTGGTCGTTTCTTTCCTGTATGTATCCCTGTTGATCAAGATCTTCAGGAACTTGAGAAGCGAATGAATGTCTCCAATGACCATAATGACCAGTGCTTGGTAAACGAGTTATAGATCGATCGTACATGCCACTAGTCGAAGAACGATCTCTGGAGTCATAGTAAACAGTAGGCTGGTATATCTCCCTACCAAATGAATCAGTAGCAGTCCTCGTCTTACAGAAACATTGATAATAAACAGGAATGATGACAAAAACAATGATAATTATGACGATTAATACAGCTATAATGATGACAATATACAGTGATACACTCTGGTTGTCTTTTCCATTCATGTCCATATTTTTTGCGTTTGTTTCATTTGAATTTGCTAAGTCGTTATTATTTCACGGTATACTAATCCCTAGCCTTTTTTCCTTTATTATGTGTAAAATCGTTGTATTGGCACTGATACCAACAGTGTTTCGGCAGAACATGTGATTCTTGTTCCATTCCTCGCCATCGATGTTTTTATTAGCGTTAATACTTGTCCATCCTCAATATATTCATTAGCATTTAATACAGGTGTAATCGTCCAACTGAACTGCGTAGCTGGAGGATTAGAAAATGATTGACAAAAGAAGATTGAGTCTAATCCAGCAAACAACACATTAGTATGTTGTATTATAACTTCTGGAGGATATTGTATATTTAAATTTCGAATTGTACAATTATGTATATCAGGGACAACAGCAGTTGTTTGGTGACACAAAAATGTAGCTTCATTATCTGTTTTCTTTGCTATAAATGAGTATCGTTTGTAGACCATATTATTCTGTATTGAGGTTGCGAATTCATTGACAAAATAGAACTACCTTTCCGAATCCATGTTTGCTCCACTGGTGGACTTATTAACTCGGTCATACTTGTTAATTCTACTTGTGATCCTACTGTATAGCTGTTAGCTGAATTCGTGCATTTTGGATATTCTGATGAAGGAACCTGCAATACTGTTAAACGGGCTACTCCAGAACTAATGACAGTAGTTTGATTTATTTGGCAATGGTAGTCTCCTTCATTTTTGAGCATTAAATCAGATATTAGTAAAGAATAAGAATATGCTGCAGGAAATGGAAGTTTATCTATGTTTACTGATATACGTTGGTCTGCCGTTATTAGTCTTTCCTTCACACTTATTTGTTTGTCGCCTTTCCACCAGGATAGAACATTGCTTTCTTTATTAAATTCTCCTAAATAACATTTCAATGTTGCAACCTGTCCTTCAAATTCCTGAACATTATTCGGTTTAGCGTCGAATCTCACAGCATATGAAATACAACTTCGTAGGAAGATTAACTGTCTTGCAAACTGAAGTAAAAACATTTTACCTGATATATTTAACAACACCTTACGAAATGCTTTCCACTTGTTACACTATTTGCAAAATATTTTTTTCTATCTTCAGTACTTCCTATGGTATTAAGCAATTATAATAGTACCTGAAAGCTGATCGCCTGCAATAGCACACATCCTTAAATGCCTTCTACATTAATTTTCATGAACTGAACATCTTTCCAAACTTTATTGCTGTGCGAATAATAGTCCAACAATATATTTCAAAGTATTTTTGGGACATACAAACATAATCAGTATCTTCAGAAACGTTTGAAGCTAATGAATGCCTTCAGTGACCATGTATGTCCGGTAAGTAAGATCAAACGATGCAGTTAAAACCAAATTAATGACTATGAACAGCTTACATAAAATATTGATTGTCGTAGAACAAAACTAATGAGCATTTTTATAAAGTTAATTGTTAATTGATGCACTCTATCAAAGTGTATTCTGACCATTTTTCTCATCAATATACATATATCCTTGTTGATCAAGATCCTCAGGAACTTGAGAAGCGAATGAGTGTCTCCAGTGAACATAATGCCTTGTGTTCGGCAGATGAGGTAATGATCGATCGTAGAGACCACTATTTGAAGAACGATCTCTGGTGTTATAGTAAACAGTAGGCTGGTATATCTCTCTCCCAGTTAAATCAGTAGCAGCCCTCGTCTTACAGAAGCAGTGATAATAAACAGGAATGATGACAACAACCACAACAATGATTACGACTAATACAATGATAATGATAACAACATACAGTGATACACCCTGATTGTTTTTCCTCGTTATTTCCATATTATTTTCTTTTGTTTCAAGTGAATTCTCTATGTCATTATCGTTTCCATGTATATTATTTTCTCTCCTTTGTTCTTTTATTATGTGTAACGTTGTTGTATCGGTACTGATACCGACTTTGTTTTCTGCAGAACAGGTGATTCTAGTTCCATTTCTAGCTATCGATGGCTTTATGAGGGTTAACACTTGCCCATCAGCAATATATTCATTATCGTTTAGAACAGGTGTGGACGTCCATCTGAATATCATAACTGGAGGATTAGCAAATGATTGACAGAATAAGATAGAATCAGATCCTGCAACCAATGCACTGGTGTGCTGTATTTTCACTTCTGGACGATATTGAATATTTAAATTTTGAATTGTACAATTAATTATTTCAGAAATAGCGTCGGTTGTTTGTTCACATACAAAATTAGCATCATTATCAGTTTTCTTTGCTATAAATGTATAATGGTTATACACCAAATCGTCAAGTATTTCAGATTGAATATTCGTTGGTAAAATAAAAGTATCTTTTCGACTCCATCGTAGATTTACGGGTGGACTTATTAACTCACTAATGCACGATAATTTTACATCTCTGCCTACGATGTAACTGTTAGCTGACTTCGAGCATTTTGGGTATTCTGACGAAGGAATCTGCATAACACCGAGACGTGCTGTTCCAGAAATGATTTTAGGAAATCCGTCTATTTGGCAGTGGTAGCTCCCCTTATCTTTGAGTTTTAAGTCAGTTATTTGTAAAGAATACGAATACGCACCTGTATATGGAAGCTTTTCTAAATTTACCGAAATACGTTGATCAGCAGCTTTTACCATATCATTCAAACTTATTTGTTCATCCTCTTTCCACCAGGATACCACATTGTTTTGTTTATTAAATTCTCCTAGATAACATTTTAAAATTGCTATCTGCCCTTCATGTTCTTGAACATCATTAGGTTTAGCGTCAAATCTTACGGCATACGCAATACATATTTGTAGCAGGATCAACGATAAACGCATGTTTAACGATTTAGTGAATTTGAATTTAAGATCAAGACTTTCCAAAATGATTTCCACTTGTCTTTTTGCAATCATCGACATACCAAAATGAAAATACGTCACATTCTTCTGCCTTCAATGTTACCTTCGGTTTTATGAATATTAAAATACTACGCAAAGGCTGATCGCCTGCAATCAATGTCAAACACCACTTAATGCCTTCTACATTTTTTTTTGGAAACTGAATGGAACACCGTTTTAAATGTGTTGTTACAGGTTTGGCAATAAATCCTTTTAATCTTGAGTGGTATGCGAATAATAGTCGAACAATTTCTTTTTCCTATGCACATGTGGTACCTTTAATCAATATCTTCAGAAACGTTTGAAGAAAATTAATACCTTAAGTGACTATATGTCCATTACTTGGTAAGCGAGATCAATTTAAACGATGCAGTTCAAACCAAATTAATAATTATGAACTTCTTACATAACACATCATTTGGTGTTACACAGAATCAAACGTAGTAACTACGGTTTTGTAAATTATTTTATTTAATTGTTGCACGCTATTAAAGAGTATTCTGACCATTTCTCTCATCAATATACACATATCCTTGTTGATTAAGATCTTCAGGAACCTGAGAAGCGAAAGAGTGTCTCCAATGACCATAAAGCCCTGTACTTGGTAAATGAGGTAAAGAGCAATCATAGAGACCACTATTTGAAGTACGATTTCTGGAGTCATAGTAAACAGTAGGCTGGTATATCTCTCTACCAGAGGAATCAGTAGCAGTCCGTGTCTTACAGAAGCAATGGTAATAAACAGGAATGATAACAACAACCACAACAATGATGACGACTAATACAATGACAATAATGACAACATACAGTGATACTCCTTTGCTGTCTTCAGTCATGTTCGTAGTATTTTTTGTTTTAGAAACATTTTTAGAGTCATTATTGTTTCCATAAATATTCTTTTCCAGCGTTCCTTCCTTCGTTATATGTACTGTCATTGTATCAGTACTGGCGCCGATATTGTTTTCTGCTAAACAAGTTATTCTTGTTCCATTTCGGGCAATCGATGGTTTTATAAGTGTCAATACTTGTCCATCTGCAATATATTCATTAACATTTAATACAGGTGTAAACATCCACTTGAACTCTGTAACTGGAGGATTAGCAAATGATTGACAGAATAAAATGGCATCAGATCCTGCAAACAGTGCACTGGTGTGTTGTATTTTAACTTCTGGACGATATTGTATATTCAAATTTTGAATTGAACAATTGTGTATTCCTGGGACAACCTCAGTTCTTTGTTGGCACATGAAACTATCATCGTTGTTTGATTTTTTAGCTATGAATGTATAATGCTTGTAGACCAAATCATCACTTACTTCAGTTTTGATACTAATTGGTAAAACTGAAGCACCTTCATGGTTCCAGTTTAATTCCACAGGTGGACTTATTAGCTCACTAATGCACGTCAGTTTGACTTGTGAACCAACGACGTAAGTGTTAGCAGATTTTTTACATTTTGGATATTTTGTAGAGGGAATTTGCAAAATTGTGAGGCGTGCTATTCCAGAGCTAACGATTGGACTTTCATCAATCTGACAGTGGTAGTCTCCTTCATCCTCAAGTATTAGGTCATGTATAAGTAATACATATGAGTATGCACCAGCATACGGAAGGTCATCTAAGTACACCGATATACGTTTATCAAAAACTATTACCTCATTCTGTTGACTCAATTTTAGATCATATTTCCACCATGATACAATATGTTTTTCCTTAATAAAATCTCCTAAAAAGCAATTTATTTTGGCTGTTTTCCCTTCGTATCCATTTACATCCTTTGGTTTGGCATCGAATCGCACAGTAAGACCAATAGGTAGTTGTAGCAAAATCAGCAATCCTTCTATCAAATGCATTTTGCTATAATTATCATTCAGATTGCATATCTTAAACTTCCCTTTTAGTTTGTATATTCAAATACATCATTATCATCAGTAGAAAAATAGATCGTATATTACTTAATTACATTCCTAGTTTTTGTTGTTGGGTCAATCATTGCTTCAATCGCAACTGCTTGTGATAGTACATACCATTGTATACTATATATATTTAGGTCAACTATGATCAGGAACACCATTTTTTATCTGTTGTTACACGTTTGTAAGTTTGTTAAAAATTTTGCTGCACAAGTAGGGCTTCATAAATGATTTGTATTACATTGAATTGTAATTAGAAACTATATTTTCATGTAAGACAAAGTTAATTGTTGGTGGTAAATTACCTAATTCTCGAACATGATCAGTAAATAAATCGTAAATTTGTATCGTAGCATCTTCTTGCCATTAAAGAGTATTTTGACCGTTTTCCCCCTCGATGTAGGTATAACCTTGTTGATCAAGATCTTCTGGAACTTGGGAAGCAAACGAGTGCCTCCAGTGGCCATACTGCCCAGTGCTCGGTAAACGAGGTAAAGATCGATCGTACAAACCACTATTTAAAGCACGATCTCTGGTATCATAGTACACAGTAGGCTGGTATATCTCTCTACCAGAGGAATCAGTAGCAGTCCTCTGCTTACAGAAACATTGATAATAAACAGGAATAATGACAACAACCACAACAATGATCACGACTAATACAATGACAATTATAATGACGTAGAGTGATACAGCATTTTCGTCTTGGCTGTCATCTGCAAATTCATTTTTGTTAGAATCTTGCGAGTTGTTATTTTTTGTCTGCACTCTGTTTTTGTCAGATCCTTTTGAATTCCTATTAACATTATTTTCATTTGAAATATACATATGTATTGAATGAACACCAGTACCGACTGAGTTTGTGGCTGTGCAAGTGACATGTGTTCCATTTCTAGAGATAGTTGGTTTAAGAAGTCGCAATACTTGCCCTTCAGTCTCATATTCATATCGTTCTAAATTTGGTTCAAATGTCCATCTGAATATCGTTACAGGAGGATTAGCAACTGATTGACAAAACAATATAGAATCAGTTCCCGCATAAATTGAATTAGTGTGTCGTATTTTCACTTCAGGATTATATTGTATATTAAGATCACTAATTGTACAATTCAAAGTTTCCAACATAACTTCTGATTCCTGTGCACAGACGAAAGTTTCTTTATTGTCTTCCTTTCTTGCAGTGAACTGAAGATGTTTATAAACGATATTGCCACGTATTTCTTTACTTACACGCGTTGGTGGTATAGCTAGTAAAGTAGGCCTACGTGACCATCGTAATTCCACAGGAGGCAAAACTTCCTCTGATATACATGTTAGCTTTACTTCCGAGCCAGCAATATAGCTTTCTTTTGATTTTAAACATTGAGGGTATTCACTTGAAGGCTTTTGTAGAATAGTCACATAAACAAACTCTGACTGTAATATATAAGGCTGTGATATCTTGCAATAATAATCACCTTCATCCTCTCGTACTGAAGAAGATATAACTAACAAATACATAAGTCTATTTAGGTCTGCGATATCTAACAGTGTAGCAGTAAGTCTTTTATCATCTATAACTATCTTGTTTTCAATGCTAATTTGACGATTACTTTTCCACCATGAAATACTGCTACGCTCCAATCCGCCTTGAATGAGGCATTTGACGGTAACTGATTCTCCTTCTAACGCAGTAACATCTTTCATATCATTATCAGGTAAAAACTGCAGTCCATTTGTTCTTTCCAAGGTAATCACCGATAGCAATAGCAAAATAAATTGAAGCATTTTGAATATATGCGACTTAGCAAAACTCATGTCATCTTATGAGCATACTACTAGGTTAAATTCGTATTATAAAGTTAAAAGAAAACCACACTGAGGTTTGTATCTGTGCAGTAACTATTAGTTCCATTATATTGCAGGTTGGCTAGTATAAATAAAAATAGTGTTACCAGTACACATTGGGCCTTCGATTCACACGATATATTCATTATATGCATTGATACAGGAACATGAGATACATACTGTATAATCACATATATACAACATACGGTGCAACAATAATCACAATGTATTCTGTCCGTTCCTCTCCTCTATGTACATGTATCCCTGTTGATCAAGATTTTCGGGAACTTGAGAAGCGAATGAGTGTCTCCAATGACCATATTGCCCAGTGCTCGGTAAATGAGGTAAAGATCGATCATAGAGACCACTATTTGAATTACGACTTCTAGTGTCATAGTACACAGTAGGTTGGTATATCTCTCTACCAGAGGAATCAGTAGCAGACCTTGTCTTACAGAAACATTGATAATAAACAGGAATGATGACAACAACCACAACAACGATCACGACTAATACAATGATAATGATGACTACATACAGTGATACTGTCTGGTTATTTTCTTCTTGACTGTTTGCAATTATATTTCCGTTTGGGTCTTGCCAGTGATTATCATTTTTAATTTGTTTTCCATTGTCCTCAAATCCTTTTGCGTCACCGTTCATATTATTTTCATTTAAAATGTAAAGTCGTGTCGAATCAACACCAGTACCTACATGGTTTGAGGCTGTACACGTCACATGTGTTCCATTTCTAGTGATAGCTAGTTTAAGAAGTCGCAATACTTGCCCTTCGGTCTCATATTCATATGGTTCTAACATTGGTTGAAACGTCCATCTAAATGTCGCTACAGGAGGGTTAGCAACTGATTGACAAAACCATATAGAATTAGATCCTGCATATATTACATTAGAGTGTCGTATTTTCACTTCAGGATTATATTGTATATTAAGGTCTCTAATTGTACAATTTAAAGTGTCCGACATAACTTCTGAATGCTGTGCACAGACGAACGTTAGTTCATTGTCTTCCTTTCTTGCGGTAAACTGAAGATGTTTATAAACAATATTGTCACGCAGTTCTTTACTTACATGCATTGGTGATATCGCTAGTAAAGTAGGCCTACGTGACCATCGTAGTTCCACAGGAGGTAAAACTACCTCTGATATACATGTTAGCTTTACATCCGAGCCAGCGATGTAGCTTTCTTTTGTTTTTAAACATTGCGGGTATTCACTTGAAGGCTTTTGTAGAATAGTCACATGAGTAAAATCTGACTGCAATTCATTAGGATGAGATATCTTGCAGTAATAATCACCTTCATCATCTCGTACTGAAGATGATATAACTAACAAATACATTAGTCTATTTATGTCTGAGATATCTAACAGCGAAGCAGTAAGCCGTGCATCCTCGATAACTATTTTGTTTTCAATGCTAATTTGACGATCACTTTTCCACCATGAAATACCACTACGCTCCGATAACTTTCCTTGGATGAGGCATTTAACCCTTATTGTTTCTCCTTCTAGTACGGTAACAACTTTCATATCATTATCAGGTAGAAACTGCTGTCCATTTATTTTTTCCCACATTCTCACCGATAGCAAAAACAAAAGAAAATGAAGCATGTTGAATATATACGCCATAGCAATACTCATGTTATCTTATGAACACATTATCAAGTTAAATTCGTATAATAAAGACAATAAAAAGACACCGATGTTTGTATTGGTGCATTAATGACTAGTTCCATTACCTTACAGATTTTCACGACACCAACAATATGGGGAAATGCGTTACAAAACACATTTAAAATATAATGAGCAATAGGAAAATAAACTTGTGTTACTGGTTACTGGTTTATCGGATTTTTCTGTGCGATATGTTGGGCTCCAACTCTCACATTCAAGTTAAGTGTATACATCTTGTCAATGAATTTAGTTGCCAGATAAGCATTTGGGTTTAATTTGCTACGTGTTTTACGCAAAACTTTATAATAGCATGTACTATTACTCTTTCTTTTTTTTTTTGTACCTAACCAAAACAATTTCTCATTTTCTTTTACACAATATCCTGTCCGCTCCTCTCCCCTATATACATATCCCTGTTGATCAAGATCTTCTGGAACTTCAGAAGCAAAGGAATATCTCCAATGACCTTAATGTCCAGAGCTAGGTAAACGGGGTAAAGATTGATCGTAGAGACCACTATTTGAATTACGACTTCTAGTGTCATAGTACAGAGTACACAGAGTTTCCCTACCGGATAATTCAGCAGTATTCTTTGTTTTACAAAAGCATTGGTAATAAATGGGAATGATGACAACAGCAACGATGACTATGACAACTAATACAATAATAATAACGACAACATACAAAGATACACCCCGGCTATCTTTCTTTGTCTTTATATTCCCGTTTGTTTCATGGACATTTTCTACTTCATTGTTTTTCTAAATATTATTGTTCTCGAGTAATCTTTCTTCTGCCATGTGTAACGTCATTGTATCGGTACTGATACCGACATCGTGTTCGGCAGATCACGGGATTGTTGTTCCATTTCTAGCCATTGATGGTTTTAGATAGACCTACTATAGTTGTCTATTGGCAGTATACTCATTAGCATTATTGCAGGTGCAAATATCCACTTGAACTGTGAAACTAAATGATTGACAGAATAACATGGAATCAGATCCCTCAAATATTGCACGAGGGTTCTGTATTTTAACTTCCGGATGATATTTTACATTCAAATTTTGAATTGTACAATTATTTTTGGCAGGGCCAACATCAATTGTTTGTTGACACAATAAATTAGCATCATTGTCTGTTTTTGCTCCTTTAAATGTGTAATGTTCATACACAAATTTATCTTTTTACTCCGTCCAATTTTTCGAAGAAAAAGCTGCGCTCTTTTCGTGAAACCATTTTAATTCAACAGGTGGGCTTATCCATTCACTAATACATGATAACTTGACATATGAATCAACGATATTGATTGAATGTATTATGGGTATTGAGGTGGAGGCGCTTGCAATACCGCGTGAGGAGCGGGTTCCGATGTTATTGTGTCTGTCACTTACTGCATAATGATAATAGCCTTCATTATTAATGTTCCCATTGCTAATCAGTATAGAATAAGTGTATATATCTGTATCACCAAACTCATCTAAAGCTACAGGTATTCTAGGATCGGTTACTACAACCTGTTTATTTTCAAAGATTTTTATATTTTCCTTCCACCAAGAAACTGTATGTAACTCCTCACGTAGACCTTCTACACAGCACTTTAGTGTCGCGATCTTTCCTTCAATCTGCCTGACATTTTTCGGCTTGTAAGCGAACCTTACACCAAAACTAGACGAGCCAAAATGAAAAGCAACTACAACATGAGTGAAAGATCGATTATTGTCTTGATGAAACACCGAGGTGTTATTCTTTATACATCAGGTACATACTTACAACACATTCCTATTGTAGAGCGCTTGTTAGAAAATAGCTACGTATATATGTCCGAAACAGCCATACATACAGTACTTAATTAAATGATATAGTTTACAAAAGTATACTCGAAAAATTAATGACAGACATTAATAAAGATGTTCTCATGGCCTTGAATTATACGGGAAATATAGTTATTCTATGCATTGATTCAGGAATAATATAAGTAGAATAATTTTAAATATTTATATCTCTAAAAACATACCTTGTATACAATAATTACAATGTATTTTGACTGCTTTCCTTCTCGATGTACATGTATCCTTGTTGATCAAGATCCTCTGGAACTTGAGAAGCAAATGAATGTCTCCAGTGACCATAATGTCCGGTGCTTGGTAAAAGAGGTAAAGATCGATCATAGAGACCGCTAGAAGTACGATTACGTGTGTCATAGTACGCAGTAGGCTGATATATGTCTCTACCAGATGAATCAGTAGTAGCCCTTTCTTTACAAAAGCATTGGTAATAAACAGGAATGATGACAACAACAATGATAATTATGACAACTAATACAACAATAATGATGACAACATACAATGATACACCACGGCTGTCATCTTCGCTTGTGGTCGTTTTTACATTATTTTCAGAAAAACTTGCTAGGTCATTATTTTTATGAGCAATGTTATTATCGATCCATCTTTCCTCTGTCATGTGTAATGTCATTGTATCGGTACTGATACCGACATTATTTTCTGCAGAACAGGTGATTCTTGTTCCATTTCTAACCATCGATGGTTTTATCAGCGTCAATACTTGTCCATCTGTAATATACTCATTAGCATTTAATGCAGGTGTAAATATCCACCTGAACTGAGTAACTGGAGGATTAGCAAATGATTGGCAGAATAAGATGGAATCGGATCCAGCAAACAGTGCACTGGTGTGTTGTATTTTAACTTCCGGACGATATTGTATATTCAAATTTCGAATTGTACAATTGTGTATCTCAGGAACAACATCAGTGGTTTGTAAACAGATAAAAGTAGCATCGATATCAGTTTTCTTTGCTATAAAAATGTAATGTTTGTAAACAAATTCAGCATTTCGTTCTGTTTGTATTGTATTAGAAGAAACAACACTTTCGTCTTTCATCCAACTCAGTTCAACAGCCGGGCTAAGTCTTTGACTTACACATGACAATTTTACTTCGGTACTCAAAATATAGCTCTGCATTGATTGAATGCAGTGTGGGTACTGAAATGACGGAACTTGCAATACGGTGAGATGAGCGGGTTCTGATGTTATAGTATTTCCATTTCTGACTTCACAGTGATAATCTTCTTCATCTGTAATATTCACATTGCTAATCAAAATTGAATAAGTATAAATATCTGTGTCACCAATCTCCTCTAAAGTTACAGATAGTCTTGGATCTTTTGTAATTACATTATTATTTTCACTTACTTTTACTGTTTCTTTCCACCAAGAGACCGTATGATGCTCTTCGCGTAAGCTTTCAACGTAACACTTTAGCGTAGCAATTTTCCCTTCGATCTGTTCGACATTTTTTGGCTTATAAGCGAACCTAACACTGAAAGCTAGTTTACCTAAGAACAAAAGCAAACCCAACGTTCGTAAGAAATTCATTCTTGTATTTGGTGTTTTCCTGCGTTATAAATCAGGTGTATGGTAATAATCCTAAAATCATGTTCCCGATTGTCAGCCTACAAGAAATACGTGTTAAAACATCTTTGATGTAAGGGTAACCACGTATGGTGGATATGACGGTAATGCTTAGATATGAATAGTTCTCAAACTTTTGGCATGCATAAATAAAAATGGTGTTACTGGTTCTCACTCTGCCTTCGATTTATATGCTATTTTCTTTCTATACATTTATTCCGGAATGTAAGCAACACGATTTATAATAATTGCTATTTACAAAAGCATAAAGGCTTGTTTAAACTATGACAATAATGATCAACGACAAGCTAAAAAGCAATTGTTTATATGGAAAATATAAGAAATAAGAGAAGTTTTCACACTAGCACGATTCGATAACGATTTATCTGTAGGCCTATACGATAAAAAAAATATTTTTACAAATCAAATGAAATGACGTCATAATCATATCGTTTTCTCATGAGTATGATGTCATTTTATTTGATTTGTGAGATAATTTTGTTTATTGTATACACGATAAATTGTTATAGAATCGTGATAGTGTGAACATTTCACTTATACCCTTTATTTTCTATATTAACAATTGCTTTTTAGCATTTTATCGTTGATCGTGATTGTCATAGTGTAAACAGGACTTAAAAATTAATCACAATGTATTCTCGCAATTCTCTTCCTCGATAAAAAGAATATTTCAAGGGAGAAGGTAAAGTTAAGTTTATAAGAAGAAAAAACGTAGTTTACCATTGCTGTTAAGGATTCTTGCCACCAATACTGCTTTAAGTGACTCTACAGTGTGATTTGCCCGTTTCTCTCTTCTATGTACATAGATCCCTGTTGATCAAGATCTTCTGGAACTTGAGAAGCAAATGAGTGTCTCCAGTGACCATATTGCCCAGTGCTCGGTAAACGAGGTAAAGATCGGTCATAAAGACCACTATTTAAATTACGACTTCTGGTGTCATAGTACACCGTAGGTTGGTATATCTCTCTACCAGAGGAATCAGTAACAGTTCTTGTCTTACAGAAACATTGATAATAAACAGGAATGATGACAACAACCACAACAATGATCACAACTAATACAATTATAATGATGATGACGTAGAGTGATACTGCCTGGTTATTTTCTTCTTTAACATTTGCAATTTTATTTCCGTTTGAGTCTTGTGAGTGCTTATCCTTTTTAATTTGTTTCCCATTGTTTTCAAATCCTTTTACGTCACCGTTCACAATATTATCATTTAAAATGAATCAACACCGCTACCTACACGGTTTGTGGCTGTGCACGTGACATGTGTTCCATTTCTAGTGACTGCTAGTTTAAGAAGTCGCAATACTTGCCCTTCAGTCTCATATTCGTATGGCTCTAGCATTGGTTGAAATGTCCATCTAAATGTCGCTACAGGAGGATTAGCAACTGATTGACAAAACAATATAGAATTTGATCCCGCATATATTGCATTAGTGTGTCGTATTTTAACTTCAGGATTATATTGTATATTAAGGTCGCTAATTGTACAATTTAAAGTGTCCGACATAACTTCTGTATGCTGTTCACAGACGAACGTTTGTTCATTGTCCTCCTTTCTTGCAGTGAACTGAAGATGTTTATAAGCAATATTGTCACGCATCTCTTTACTTACATGCATTGGTGGTATTGTTAGTGAAGTAGGCCTACGTGACCATCGTAATTCCACAGGAGGTAAAACTACCTCTGAAATACATGTTAGTTTTACATCCGAGCCAGCAATATAACTTTTTCTTGATTTTAAACATTGAGGGTATTCACTTGAAGGCTTTTGTAGAATAGTCACGTGAGCGAACTCCGACTGTTTTTCATAAGGATGCGATATCCTGCAATAATAATTGCCTTCATCTTGCCTTACTGATGATGATATAACTAACCAATACATTATTTTATTAGTATCTGGAATTTCTGCCAAATTTGCGGTTAATCTTGGATCTTTGATAACTATACCGTTTTCGGCACTAATCTGACGATCACTTTTCCACCAAGAAATACTAATACCCTCGGATAAATCACCTTCAAGGAAGCATTTGACTGTCACTGACTCTCCTTCTAATACACTGACGTCTTTCATATCAGGTAAAAACTGCTGTCCAATTGCTTGCTTCCAGTTAACCACAAATACTAAAAGCATTATTATATTACACATTGTAACGAAGTATGCTGTACATAATATTTCTGCCATTCAGTCTCTTGACCAAGTCCGATTTATTGTATCTTGCCAATAAGCATATAGGCCTATGATGATTAAATCTGTTTTTGTCTGAAATTCACAGCAGGAGTGGTATAACCAATCGAAATAGAGCAAGGATGTAAATAATAAGAAGCAATATGAAAATAAAATTATGTTACAGGTATACACAATTCGCTTATTGTTTTCTTTACAGACAATAATTGTCTTAATTATTAAGCGATATTTATCCTTATAACAATCAAAAGTTTGTGAAATGTATTTATATAACTGATCTATTATATATTGTACCTAGATAAGGAAAATATTTGAATGAAAAAGGTAAAGCTCATTCCATTAGAAAACAATTGTAGTTTACCATTGCTGTTAGGGCTTATTGCCACCAATACTGCTTTAAGTGACTCTATAGTGTATTTTGCCCGTTTCTTTCTTCTATGTACGTGTATCCTTGTTGATCAAGATCTTCGGGAACTTGAGAAGCGAATGAGTGTCTCCAGTGACCACGCTGCCCAGTGCTCGGTAAACGAGGTAAAGATCGATCATAGAGACCACTATTTGAATTACGACTTCTGGTGTCATAGTACACCGTAGGTTGGTATATCTCTCTACCAGAGGAATCAGTAGCAGTTCTTGTCTTACAGAAACATTGATAATAAACAGGAATGATGACAACAACCACAACAACGATCACGACTAGTAAGATGTGTATAAGAGACAGGGTTATAACTAACAAATACATTATTTTATTAGTATCTGGAATTTCTGCCAAATTTGCTGTTAGTCTTGGATCTTTGATAACTATGCCGTTTTCGGCACTAATCTGACGATCACTTTTCCACCAAGAAATACTAATACCCTCGGATAAATCACCTTCAAGGAAGCATTTGACTGTCACTGACTCTCCTTCTAATACACTGACGTCTTTCATATCAGGTAAAAACTGCTGTCCAATTGCTTGCTTCCAGTTAACCACAAATACTAAAAGCATTATTATATTACACATTGTAACGAAGTATGCTGTACATAATATTTCTGCCATTCAGTCTCTTGACCAAGTCCGATTTTTTGTATCTTAACAATAAGCACATAAGCCTATGGTTGTTAAGTCTGATTTTGTCTGAAATTCACTGCAGTAGCGGTACAACCAATCGAACTAAAGCAAGGTTGTAAATAATATAAAGCAATGTGAAAATAAACTTATGTTACAGGTATA